GCTTTTCTGTATATCTGACTTGAGAACACATTGTTGGTTTTGGTGTCTTGTCTAGTATCTCTAATCTGATTTGAAACATAGAACCAACATTTTTATTATTATTCTTTAAAACTGCAATGTTAAGATTCATACAAATTTTATTGAATGCACTTTAGGTAGCAGATATTTTGCATGCTCTGGGGGGTTTTAATTCGTATTCTGGGAGTTTGGACTCAGGCCCTTGGGCTCTGGTCCAATAGTAGAAATGTAAAACTTGTCTATTGTTTGTAATAATGTAGCACAGGCTGATAACATTCTCCCAACAGCTAATAGMATAAGTGTTTTTTACCTTTTCTAGCTATAAGGAAAGGCAATTGAAGAGGACCTGGGATGCAGGTGACTACTGGAGAGCAGCCTCTCTGTGTGGATTTTTAAAACTATCACTTCACCCCAGGTCTTGTACATGAGACCTAGTAAATTGTGACYATCTGAAATTTAGAAAGCAGAGGCTGGTGGCATATAAGGGGTCTGGAGGTTCATTCAGAGAAGCCAGGAAGCAGGCAAATTTTTAATTGGTAAAATTTTAGAAAAACAAGCCTAGAATTCAGGCTTCTCATTTGCCTGTCAGCTAGCCACTTTTTGTGGGGGTGGGGGCAAGGTAGAATGAGAATCCTAGGTGGTTACTGCACCTGTGCTTGGAACAAATTGGTTTTGAGTGTCAGATGTACACTTTTTAAGCCATCAGTATCTAAATGTATAGTGGGAGTACATTTAATAAATAAATAAATAAAGTAATGAGAGTCTATTACAGGGCACCAAAAGGACTGGCCTGAGAACAAATCAGTGTCATCTTCTAATCTCTATCTTCTTAATCTCCATGTTCCTTCTTTATAATTTATCTCTACTGACATTTTTTTTTTCTTTCCTTCTTAGATGTACAGGTCTTGAAAGAATTTTAGCCACATTGGCTGCAGTTTCTCACAACACCTTGGGGTTAAGGACTTAAACAAAAACCGAGAGCCAAAAGTTTCTTTTTTTTCTCAGAACACAGGCAAGATTTCTTAGTCTTTGTCCTTATTCCCTGTCTTACTACAAGTGTAAGGGAATTTTTATAGATTATAGATTTAGAAGCAAGAGGCTTTAGCCCTGAGGTAAAAACTCACAGCCATTTATCTGAGCAATATTATTTTGCTTTCTTCTCTTTTTAAATTCCTGGCCCAGTTTCTGTTTCTTTGTTTTAGATTTCCAGCACTGGGCTTCTTTTTGATCTCTGCATCCTTGTTCTCAAGAGTTCTCTGCTGACTATGGCAGCTGCATGGTGAGGCAGGGTTTGCAGAAAGCCTGTTTCTGAAACTGATTCAGCTGACATGAGGGCCACCCTGTGCAGGYAGAACTCTTGTCTCTGCTTTGGAGGAGGCTGTATCCTTCTCARGCTAACCAAGAATTGTTGGGAGACTGCTTGCAACTCCTAGAGCCAAATTTTGGCTGGGCTTGATATAGTGTAAAAGACAAGTGATCCACTACTTTTCCAAGGGATAAAAATATCCACTTATTAATKTACCAGCCTCTGTTTTGAAGGCTTGGAAACTGCTTTTTGAAGCCAGTTATTGAGTCAGCATGATTTCAGGGACAGAGGGAGAAGGATCCTCATGTCACCCTTAAGATTTGCACCCCGTTCAGATGCTTTCCCTCCTGTCTCTGATCCTATTCATTATTCGTACAATCCTGTGTTCAAGTACACTCTGTTGATCAGATCTTCAGGGGGAGAACCATTACAGCCTGCTCAGATCTCTCAAGCCCTACTTGGCAAACAGGGTTCTTCAACTGGTCTTTTGAAGCAAGTTGTRCCTACTGTCTTGACCACTGTGTGACCTTCTCCCTTCCTTCTGATTCCTGTGGGTCTATCCTRCTGAGCTGAGAGCTGGACCAGGAGCTACTGTCCTGTCTCTTCTTTGCAACCTACAGGCAGTTCAGACTTCCAGCTTTTTCACAAGCCTCCTTTCTGCCACTAAGTCATAAGCCCACTCCATTTATCAATATTCCAATAGAGTCTCRCTTGCACTGTGTTCTGTGATTCTTTATTATAAGCAAGACTGGACTATTACTCCAGTACCCTTCAGTTTCTGTGTCATTGCAAATCATAGGCAGCAAAAAACCGTAAAAGTAGTACTTTGAGAGATGAGCTTGTGAGTTTGATGTTCAAGTGACATAATTAYACTGTTTTTCCAGAGGTGGTTCCTCCCCTTTGTTCCTTCCCTTGCCATGACATGGCTTGAGGCTATTTATGTAGAATAAGGAAAGCCCTAATTCACTTTGTAGTTGATCACTTGGGTACTATTAATTCTGCTAAATTTAC